TTTAGGTAGGCGTGGTTAACTCTTAACTTTTATAAAGAATATCTCTTTGGTTTTGAGACTTTAGTGTTTGCAACTTTACAGATCTTCTTTATGCACCAAGAGCTTGTAACACTCCAAAGAGAAAGGAAAAATTTAAATCGCATCATATGACCCCTTTAAGATAAAGAGTATGACAGAGATATGTCAGTCTAACAGCCTTGCTGAAAAAAAAAACAATAGAAACCATCACAGAAATTCTAATGGTTTCCACTGAACCTGAACACTGAACTTTTAACATTAAAACCATTCAAAAATGGTTTCCTGTAGTTTGTTCTGGGACATATTCCATTAGGATTTACTGGTTTTAACAAGCAACCAATAGAAGGCGACCAATTACCAGTAGAGATCAACAGGCACCATTACAGTTTCCATTAAAACCATTACAATTCCCAGTATAAAGTAAAACCATTACAAATTCTGTGATGGTTTCTATTGTTTGTTTGTTTTTTCAGCAGGGAGGAATTATGCCAAGTAACACAACAATGACAGCCATTATTAGGCCTAGTGAATTCCCATCAAGCACATAACAAACTAACATAACAACTGTTTTCACTCTTTCTGCAAGTTACACTGATATCCTAATCCTGTACGTGGTGACAAGTGACCGTCTATGTGTATGTCACTGAATTATTCACTCGACCGATTCATTCAGGAATAATACAAGTGAGTCATTGAATTATTAACTCAACTGATTTGTTTAAAAACTGATTCATTCAGAAATTACTACTAAAGTCGAATCAGTCATATTTAGAACAACATTGGTTTTAAAAGACATAAAAGACACTCGACACATACGCACTAGAACGTTTCATCTTTGTGTTTGCGCTATTTCATTGTCACTATTAAAATACTAGTTTAAACTTCTTATTCCCTCTCTTCCCTACTTTTTGACTGTGCATACCCTAGCAAAAACGGAAGTCTACTTTGGGCTTTTTATTAGTGGCTTCCGTGACCCTACAGAGGACAAGCATATTCTGTTTACAATTTGAGCAAAACTGGGACAAAAGTCCTTTCTTTGACTTTTGACACACGTGATTCATCTATAATCAACATGTTTGTTTTTTGTGGAGTCAACAAGTTTTGTCTTTTTTAAAGCATGATAAGAGGTTGTGGTTTTTCTTCATGTAGGACTTTGACCATTTTTTCAATGAATTTGTTTTTTTTGCTATCATGTTTATGTGGCTCAGATGAGGATATTTGTTCCCTGACCATAAAATAAAGCTCATTCAGCACTGACCTTAACTCCTCCTTCTTTGCTGTATGTTTCCAGGTTCCAAAGAACACCCCACCTTCCAAGCATTTGGTTCTGTCATATTTACACATAAAAGCTGACCATGACCACCATAAATGCCCCTGTGTGTCTCCTTGCTCGGAATGAGTTTTATCGGAGTAAGTGCAGCACTATTTTTAGCTCTCCTCTGTTTAACCAGCTACAGGACACGTGTTATTCTGACTATCTGCAGTGCCCAAAGCTCTGTTTGTGTCTCATGAATGAACTTGTACCTGAATTTACAGCACACATTGTTCCAATTTTAGCCTTATCAACTGACATAGTCATTGACTAATTTGTTGACCAAATAAAAACATCGGTCCCAATTTTGTGAATTGCCAGAAATACACCTTTGATTGCTAAAACTGTTCTGAGTACTAAAAACATATAAAGAAATGTAATATATATATATATATATATATAACTAAAAATGTTTCATATTACAGAAGGAATTACACATTATTTATTTATTTTTAAATACAACGCATGCCTAAGAGGATTTACTCTGTGGTGCTATGGTCAGTTTAAGTTGTTTTCTTTGGATTCTGTGTATGTGTTTATGTATGTGATGGTTTTTGTTTGCAGGCATCTGCCCAACAGACAAAATGAAGGCAGTCAGTAGTCTTTCTGATAACTTAATGGAACCAAAGCAAAGACAAGTGACTGTCTGGGTGACCAAATCCAAGCACCAAGGTATAGCATGAGTTAAACTGAGATCTGTCAATCTATATAGTTGTACATTTAGCCTACTGACAACAAGACCATGTATTTCTGTCTAAATACAGGTTTAGGGTCTATGAGTGATGGCTGGACAATAAATGTGGTTTTAAAGAGCCCGGTATCCAGCGGAACCTCTTCCAAATGACAAAGTCCTGCTGATCGTGTGGTGAAGTAGACATCTGCACAAGAATAGCGTATAGAGCTCTGGGAAAAAAATGCTTCTCTACAGACACAATATGTGAATGTGCTGCTTAAAAGTGCTGTTCCAATAATTATTCTATTCTTTTTTTTAGAGATAGAGATCTTTTTCATGCTAGAGAATAATTATTTTTAGTTTATACGCTATCGTTCAGACTTTTGGGGTTATTAAGTCTCTTCTGTTCACCAAGACTGCATTTATTTGATCAAAAATACAGTAAAAACCATAACACTGTAAAATATTATAACAATTTAAAAGAAGTGTATTCTATTTGAATATATTTTCAAATGTAATTTATTCCTGTGATGCAAAGCTGAATTTTCAGCATCATTACTCCAGTCTTCAGTGTCACATGATCTTTCAGACATCATTTTAATATGCTGATTTGCTGCTCAAGTAACATTTATTATCAGTGCTGAAAACAGTTGTGCTGCTTATTATTTTTTGTGGACACAAAGAGCAGCATTGGTTTGAAATGTAATTTGTTTTTGTAACTTTATAAATCAGTCATTCATCCCTTTTTGAATAAAATTATTAATTTAGAAAAATAAAAACAAATGTGGAAAAAAATTTGTACGGACCCCAAAATGTATTATACTGTATAAATATCAATATAGCCATATGCTGCATTTATTTTGCCTCACTTTACGCAAGACCTGTCCCCACCACCAGTATGAGACAAAGTACTCCTAAAGAACAAATTGGAGAAATTGCAGCTAACAATATGGTGGCTTACCTTGCTGTTAAAAGATCCAAACTTTTAAGAGAGCCATCGTTTATTTGCTTTTTTTCACGCACATCAGCTGGACCAACCTAATCTGTAATATGTGTTTTGACATATAATACTATTAGATTTAATTGTCAAGATTAACTTGACATGGCATTGAAAGTTTTGGAAAAAGCTGTTACCTTTCAAATACATTGAAACATTTTCTATTGCCTGCATAGCCAATATGGCAACTGATTAAACTAACTAGTCATTTACAGATTTTGACATCCTTCAATTCTGCCCATAAAAAGTACATTTCTTTTCGTCTTCAATAAACTACCAATCACAGCACCTGTCACAGTCTCTTAGTTGGGACCTGTTGCTGCAAACAAAGGGGGAGTAATGTCTGAAAAAGAACAGAGTCAGCATGCCACAAAGTATTTATTTGAATTAAAAATAGAAAACTGTTGCTTTTTTGGATTATTTCTGTATGAGGAGAGCTGACATTTCACCCAAGAGCAGTTGTCATGACATTCTGTCTGCCTCAGTTACCATCCAAGAGTCCTGTTTGTCTCCTTGCCAAAGTCCACTTTGAAAGCTGACGCGCTGAATTTAGCTTCAGCATGCTTGTTATATAATCAAATCATTCTTTTTATGAAATAAATAAATGCAGAAGGGGCGCCTTTCCTTCTCTGCACACTTGGAACACAGACAAATTAGTACATGATGATATACACAATTTCCCATAATCATCACTGTCAAACAGTACATCAAAATATCTATGTGCAGATAAACTGAAAATAGTATCTCCTCTCGTTGGCACCAATAGCCTCGTGGGCTATAGCACCATTAGCACCATTGTGCCTTAGGATGTCCCAAGTTCATGGACCTTTCCCGATCTCGTCCCCCTCTCTCTCTCTCTCTCTCCCTCACCCATCTCGCTTCCTGTCTGAAATACTGTCCTATCCTAATAAAGGCAGAAATGCCTAAATAAATCTTTAAAAAAGGGGTCATAGCTACATGCACTTTTACAAGTTGTTTGAACTGAAATGTGTGTTGGCAGTGTGAGTACACAACCACCCTATAATGATAAAAATCCACCCAGTGTTTTTTTTTTAATCTAGTTAAATGTTTTCCCCTTTCTCAAATCGAGCCGATCTCAGATGCCTGACAAGAATGACTCCTAAGCGAATTGAGGTGTTCTGTTGTTGGATGTAATAATGAACATAGCAGTCCTCATTTACTCCCGACATCTGAGCTGCTGAACTCGCAGATGATTACATTTGTTTCTGAAGGGAATGCGCCCCCGATCTACATAAATGCGTCTATGTTTGCGCAAATCATTCATGATCCAGTCTCATCTACAGAAGTGAGTATAATGTTTTGTAATGAATCTTTGCAAATCGCCTTTCCTAATAACGTGTAAATTAGCAAGTTTCACGATGAATGCGGCTAAAGAAAACGTTCTCTCTGAGAACAGCTCAGATAAGAGGGGCGGGGCCAGCAGAGCTCATTAACATTTAAAGGAAAATGCTACAAAAAACGGCTTGATCTTTTTATGAAGACCCTAAAGAATCATATCAACTTGAAAAATGGGTATCCTATGACCCCTTTAATAAAAAAATTTAAAAAACCAAGACCCAATTACAGGGGGAAAAAGGCTGAATTTGTCATTTTAGTATTTGATTATTGCTGCACTTTATTTTAAACGCAGCTTCTAGTACACTATTATACGTATAGTTAATATGCATTATATGCATGGGGTCTTTTCTCTTAACTGCAAAGGGGAGATGGTGGTGTATGGTTTCTTTATAATACAGAAAACAAAATATGAAATAAATAAATAGGTGTCCAATAGCAGTAGTGGACTGTTTAAGACCATTTATTGTGCTGAAAAACACAGGATAAGACAACAAGTAACAAAAACATTTCCATCAGTGTTAGAGATGTGTAAAAATGTACAAATTTTTTTTTTGCAAGTTTCAGCTCTTCCATTTATTATGTGATATATATATATAAAACAATGAATAAAAAAAATAAAAAAATAAAACAGCCCATTATAGGGATGGGAAATTAAAAGAAAAAGAAAAGAGGAGCCGATTCCGTCCCCTAGCATTGGTGTCCTGATCTGGTGTCCAATTCAGGAATGAGGAGAACTCCCCGCCTCCGACTTGCCTCCATCGCTACTTTCGCTCGCTTGCCTCATCACCATCTCCCGGGCAATACATGTCACCTGCCCATTGGTCACACTCACCACCCCTGACCTGCAGAGAGCCAGTCAGATTAAGGGATTTAGAATTTAAAAATTGCTATGTCAAACTAACACCCCTTGTTATGAAATCTAAAATTTGCAACTGCATCTGCAATAATAAGTGCATCAGCACTTGGCAAGGCCTTCGTGTTACATGCACCAACTTGGGTGAAACTCAATGCTGTGACTCACTTCTGCTGAGCCTCCTCAGTAAGAGTTCCCATACCAGGCTGGTTCTGCTTCCCAAAGAAGAAACTCGACCACCAATGACCAGAATCCTGTTTGGGCAGACCTAAAGCACAATTAAACAGCAGGTCAGAACAAGCAAAGCACCACCAGTCTAATCTTCAAATGGATTTAGTACACAATGATGTAGGCACTATCGCTGTTAAAGAGTCTCTGAACAAAGACATGTAGGCTGATGTATGCATGTAAGCAACAGTCCTGTTTGTAATTCACAAAAGTGATTTCCTCAACAGTTGATTACTACGAAGTATCCATTTCAACAGAGCTGTGATTTGGGTGCAAACTGTGCAAATTGCATTGCATAACATGTAAGTGTCTTCATGTCATGTCAAAACTGTTGCAATGAAGTATTGATTGAGGTGGGGGGGTTGAAAAGACTGAAATGAAACGTAACTCACTTGGGTGATGTGGAATAACCTCCCCACTATACTCTGAACTGCCACACGAGCTGCTACTGGATGTAGAGCCAATGCGCCCTGAAAAGGAACAGTCTTATAAGGCAAATTCTCTTTATGATGTCAACTATTAATAGTTGCATTTAACTATAACAGCAAAGCACTCGCAAAGGCAACTTACTTCTGTAGTAGTCGTGAGTAGCAACAAGGGAACCACTAGATGGGATGGCTGCCATTTTACAGACTTGTGTAAATAGTGGCTTTGATGGAAACCCTGTGAAGAGATTGAGACGACATTTAATGTTGAGAATGAATTTAATGTAAATAATACAAACTAGATAATAACTTCTCATCTTAACCCTGAAAATGGATATTAATGAATACAGACAGACTCAGGGAAGGCATTTAAAAACTTTTATCTCTCACGTGTGGTTTAAAACATTGTATTGGTTACATATTTGTCTTGTAATTGTTACTCATTATTACAGTTTAGTGCCAAACCACAAGACTAGCCAAACTGACGTTATGCCACATGAGACATTCATTTCAAACAAGCTTCCTACTGCATTTTTCAGTAGGCTACACGAGGAAGTTACAGTAATCCCATAGGAATTACAGCAGTTGAGAATACAAAGGAAACATTTTTGTCTCAAACGTGAGAAAACATACCCCATTACAGCAAAATACACGACACTAATAGATGTAACGTTACTCTCTTCAAATTCTCTGACCCAAACAATGACCACCCTTTAAAATATGAAGCGTAGACCACCATCTCACCTTCTTTTGCCGCTCTTGCAGATGTTATTAGAGCACCCTACTCAATTCAGTCGGAGGCTTTGGGGAGAAAACGCTAGGCGACGGGGCCCATTTGAAAAGGTTTGGATGGATAAGACCCTCCACGACCCTCCAAAATATCTACCGCAGTGCTGTCTAACAAAAACAATCGGTCGTCGAAATTTATACAGAGAGATGACGTCGACGACTAGCAGTGGTGAATGGGGGCGTGGCCTTTCTCTGCTCTATATAAACCCCTCAGCGCGGAACCGGATCAAACCAGCGGAAGCAAGGCTAGAGCAGCTGGTGCTCTGTTTTCTGGAAATGTTCAGAAACTACGTACGTAGACATTGGTCTTGCAACAAATTGCGTCCACTATACCCCAAAAAGGTTATCAATAAATATACATAAATGAGTCACGAAACAGTTTGGGAATTCACCTTAATAATATTGGACGATTCAATCGGTATTACATCCCTGGTGGTCTAGTGGTTAGGATTCGGCGCTCTCACCGCCGCGGCCCGGGTTCGATTCCCGGTCAGGGAATGAGTGTTTTTGCGATGTTTCTCTATTTCACACTCATGATTTACAGCAAAACAAACGCTATTCACAGCTATTCAGTATTCAACATTAAAAGTGAACGTATAAGTGTAATATTGCGAATTAGTCGTTAATCAGAATATAATCTGCATTTGATGAATAAACACAGTTATACATACCGATGATCATATAAAAAAAACAACAACTGAGGACTGATGTTTGTTTTTTAGCCATAAAGGACAATTTGGGGGGAAATAGATTAATAAATATAAACGATAAAGAATAAAATAAGTCAGACGAATGGTTTTATTTACTGTATTATAATTGTACATTTACTGCTTGTTGTCACCGTTTTGAACTTGGATCCCCGAAGAATACGACATAAAATTTAATTTAAACCATTTTAATTAAATTTCTATTAGCTAATTAATATGGGTAACAAATCATCTGAAAAATTATACATTACGTAATAGCAATTAATATAAGAAAGCTATAAAGTCTTAACTAGAAAATCCAACTTTTTACACCGGGAATACCTGGGCTGGCTGAAAGGCGGACTGTGTATCAATCCTATAGTCTGTATGAAGGGCCAAATATCAAACTTGAAGGCCCTGGATCAAAAGTAAATGTTACATTTTATCCAACTTTATAATATTTACATTTCTAGTCAAATTTAAATCTACATATATTTCAATGCAACAATAAAACAGATGCTAAAACACAAAGATAAGTTGAAAAGATATCCTCCAATGGCATGTTTGCGTAAAATGTGCGGAGCCTGTAGAAGCACATGGCCTCTCCAGTACGTGCTGTACTGCCACCTCCTGGCACATTTATGTCACTAACATTACGAAAAGAAGAGGAAAGATCAAACCATAGGCCATTTGAACGAATGCTTTATTGATATACAAACAACTGACAAAAATAAATGAAGCATTACACCAGTTGTTCTAAAAGAAAACAATCTGAACCTTTAAATCTGAATAGCTAGGCTGAGACCTCTAATTTAAAGCTATATGGTGCCTGTTCCCTAAACAACAGCCTCCCGAAAATGACTACTCAAAATAATAATAAAAAAGTCCTTTCCCTCTGAATGTTCACGACCTTTTCTCATCTTTTCACCGTTTGCAGACCTACAGGGGTATCCACACGTGGATTCCAGTAAAAAATCACGTGATGTTGGCATCTCATCATCTGCACCAGTCAGTCACATGTATGCAATCCCTTGCATCTCACCCAATGAAGCATGTATTTGTCATTGTGTAATATACTGAAACAAGGCCACCCACTGACACCCATATAAATGAATGAAATATCAGAATAGAACTGATAAAAATTAAGAAAAATAAGAGATTACACTTGCTAATAATGAAATATACTCCAATATCTTTCAGGTAAAAAGTGACTGTGCTACCATACAGACAACACTAGTGTTCATGTCTGTTGGGAAAAATCAACAAATGCCACTAACAAAAGAAATTAGACTTAGCAGGACTTACTCGCCACTTGACATGTTGGATAAGTGCACATGAAAGTAACAGCATTTTTATTTCTTAAAATTGAACGGTGATCTTTGTGATGTGATAGTTTGGTGATAGTTTGTGTGTGTGTAACATTCTGACAACAAAAGGTCTATGGCATCAACTAACTGGCACACACAGCATGGCACAAAGCAAAGGCAAGCGATTTCCGATGTCAACAACATAAATAAAACATTCCTATCAATGAAAAAAAAATAACTGAAAGAGCAAAGGTAAAAAAAAATTTCAAAAAAAGAAAGCAAAAAACAACTTTGTGTAACATGTTTTTACCAGCAACAGACCAATAAAGCAATAGAGTGCGAGTGTAAGGCCGACTGAGAAGGTCAGAAATTCACCAGGTGTACAGCAAAGCATCGCTTCACATTGTACTGAGAGTAAAAAAACAACTCAACTGAATGCTCAGCAGCAAGTTTCTTTATTGGTCTAAAATCCTCCCCCCTTCAGATGTAAATGTTTCTTCTTTGTGTATTTTGTACCCCTCTGCTGCCTGATGAATGCTGCTTGGCAGTACTGTTTAAATATAGTTATTTGTATTCCTTTATAGTCATATATACGGTAGATAAAAGTTATGTAAAAACATTATGCAAAGCAGTGTAAAATAGTTTCTAATACAAAATGATTCATCATTTGTCTTCTTTTGTACAACCTGTGATGATTTCATGTCACAGAATCTGTACTACGTGTGTGTGTGTTTTCAGTGAGATGAGCAAGCACATGCTAGCAGTAGGTGGAGGGGGATCAAAGGAGACATAGGAAGGAGGGATGAAAGAATTCAGAGAGAACGGGAGAACTGGGACAACGGAAGTGTGGGTGTAGTCAGGATTCACAAAGAATGAGATGAATGTTTAAATCAAGAGGGTGGGCTCTCAGAACGGAGCGTTGTCCTGCACCGGGTTTGACTCGTTCGGAGAGTGAGCACTTTCACCATTGGCTTTGCCTCCAACCACCTTGTACTGAGACACACAAAAACCATTTAGAAGCATGCAGGACACAGAGTTCCCAGGATAAAGAAAAAAAATCTTTTTTTAAATCAAGTATAAAAAGCATGTGTCAAGTTACACTTAGACATGCTCTACACAACATTTTTTAACAAAAGTTTACAGTTAGTGATTAGAAAATTATCTGGTGTAATTATAAAGTAAAAAGTCTCAAAATATATGATTATTTTCCAAAAAGTCATTCAGTTTTTTTGGGGAAAACTGGCCTTGAGGGACTTTAAGGGCTCTCCATACAACATTGATAATAATACATGTTTCTTGAGCAGTAAACCAGAATATTAATGATTTCTGAAGGATCATGTGACACTAAAGACTGGAGTAATGATGCTGAAAATTCAGCTTTGCTTTACAGTAATAAATTACATTTTAAAATATATTCAAATAGAAAAGAGTTGTTTTAAATTGTTATAATTTTTCACAATATTAAAATGTTTTTTTTTTTTCAAATCAATGCAGAATTGGTGAGCATACGAGACTTCTAAAAGTCTTAGTGTATTTGATATAATTTCTTGTTTCTGTTTCTGCATGATTGTACCACATGCCTTTGATTTGGTGGACAAAAGTCTTTGTTTTTGTCTTTGTCAATATTTGAAATATATTAAATGTATTTTTGAATAAATTAGTAGATTAAATGAGCATCATGTCACTGACCCAGTTTCAAAAGTGAGCCTTACCTTGATGTTTCCAACTTTGTCCTCAAATGATTTGAAGGTTGGAGAGTTCCTATTTAACAAAACATGCATTAATCCCAGAAGAAACATTACAATTAATTAGAAATGAGAAAGTGGGCTCAGTAAAGTAACTGGCAGTTACACACCACAAGCATGCAAAGAAAAAACTTTTATCGAGCTGTATGAGAATATTCAATCCAGCAATTTAAACAGTTTAGTATTATTTGTTTTGAAAAAAAAAAAAAAAAGTATATATATTTTTTTTCACACAAATGACTAACATTTTAATGTCTAATGAATCAGAAACCATCTGAGTTGAGGGGCAGTGGTTTACACTAGTACTTTACCTCATAGTTGGCATACTTATTGAATGGCGAATGGAGTAGTTGCTACTTTGAAAGCATTAAAAGAAGAAAAAGTTGTGTATTAGCAAGCAAGCAGGACAGCAAGTGAGAGATCAGCTGGGTTACACCACAGACTGCTAGTTTATCCGAGATCTTTAAAAATCACATTTGTTCACACATAAAATAGCATGCTGTCATGCATAATCAAAATTAGCTGGGTTTTGGAGCTAAAATAACATTAAAATCAATTTTGCATTCAAATTATATTTAAATACATTTTTAAAAATAAAATGGGCTTGGTATTACAAACAGAGCTCTATGTTAAGCATTAACTTTTTGATGACATTAATCAGTCTTACCCAAAGGAGTTAGAGAAAGGAAGAGCTCTGTAGACCAAGCAAGGGCAGCGTTTAAAAAGAAAGGGGGAATACAAAACCAATCAGGTTGGCCAAAGCAAGCAGGAAGAACAAATTATGAGAACTATTGTTCTGATATTGAGGGAATATGGAGAACAGCGAAACGAACCAAAAAACAATCAAACCATTACATAGGGCTGAATAAGATGGATAGATGTTAATGACACAAACAATGATAAAAGTGGCTAATAAATCTGAGTTATAAAATTATGTGTCTGATGAATGAAAGATGACATTTGGATCGACAGAGCAGTAGTTTTATTCATAAAACATGGCTGAAGTTTTTGACCTGTTGAATGAAGCTATTAGCTTCTCTTTATCACACACTAGAGACTGATCTATTGAGCAGCTAATGATTTTGAGACTTATAACTAAGTCTCATGCCCTCTGCATGTCAGAACACGGAGTATCTACTACCAACAGGTCACGTTCAATAGAAGGAAATTCAGGCTTTCATAAAACTCCTTCTCTTCTGCATTCTGTTTGTGTTAGGAGTGGAGAGGGAAGTTAAATAAATGTGTGCAAATAACAGTAAGAACAGAGACAGTCTATGCAGTAAAGTGAATCAGGAGCCAGGAAAACAAGTTAGGTAGAGCTTCTGTTCATCATATGCAGCTGAAGTGGCTCTGCTGACTGTGGCTGCACTGCATTAACACTCATTATGGATAATAATGGCTTCACAGTGATGATGAACGGCAGCAGGATATGACACAAATGCAAACGCGTGGATCAATAACCAAAGAGAGCAGGGACAGAGGAAACACAGGCATGAAGGCTTTGTTCACAAACTGTAGGCAAATCCAATTCAGTTTCTAATCCAATCTTTTGTCTGCATTGTTATTTCATTAGACTTCAATGCACATATGGATGTCGTTTTCAGAATCAATGAATTTTGGGTGGATTTTTGTTACATGTCTAAACAAAGCCAAAGAAGACAATGAATAAAATCAAAGGCATGTGATGGAGATCCAATATAAGTCCATGAAATGCCATATAAACACACACACAGAAATGCAGTTTAAGACAAATCATGAGCAGTTTTGACACAACAGAACTGAAATGCTCAGCTAGGCAAAACACATTAACCAGGAACCATGTGTTAGTCTTAATTCATATTACCCAAGAAAAGCTAAATTAAATAAAAACATGCGAGTTAAACGAAGAGATGCAAATCTAAGCGATTGCGGAGTCACACTGTAATTTGTGACTGGAATAAGACTACTAGAGAAACACAGGAAGAACAAGGGTGGGTATTTTGACTTGTGCCATACCTCATGTCACCCAGTTTCCTGCTGATGGCCGTGCCAACAGTGGAGAGGGCGGCTGAGGTCTTCTGTCCAGCCTGAGACAGCGTTTCCTGAGTCTTTTTATACCTGCAAGAGGCAGGATGCAAAGAGAAAAGGAGGTGGGGGGAGAGAGAGAAAGAGAGAAAATACAAAAATCATGTGAAACTCTTCAATGTCCATGAACCTCTCCACTTCTCAGGAGTTAGTCAACATGACCACAGCCTCCAGATGACAAAAACCAGTCAGAACTCTTAAAGTCATCCAAGAAATGTTAGTTGGTCATACACTACCATTCAAAAGTTTGGGGTAAGATTCTGTTTTTAAAAGAAACTGATACTTTTTTTTCTTTCAGAAAGGACACATTACATTAATCAAAAGTGACAAATGGTATGGCAAAAATGTTACAAAGTATTTCTATTTCAAATAAATGCTGCTCAGTTTAAATGTTGTATTCATCAAAGAATCCTGAAAAAAAAAATGTATCACATTTTTCATAAATACATAAAGCAGCAAAATGGTTTTCAACATTGATAATACTAAGATCATGAAGGATCATGATTTCTAAATCAATCTGAAGAGACTGGATTTTGTAATAATATTTCATAATATTGCTGTTTTACTATATTTTTGATCAAATAAATGCAGCATTGGTAAGAATAAAAGATAAAAAATAAAGAAAATCTTACAGACCTCAAACTTAAATGGTAATGCAAATCTACAGAGTAAGCACATTTGCAATTGCAATTCACACTACTTAGAAACGCAATATAAGGCTGTATTATCTAATAACCCAGCAACAAAATATCCATGAAGCATAGCAAGCCACCTTAAATCAATCTTTTAACCCTTCATGACCTCAATGAGACCAGAAAACATCCTTGAAAACACACAAAATGAAGAAAGAATTAAGTAACTCACACTTCAGAGCTGGCAATGTCATCCAGAGTGGCAGAAGCTGAAAGATATCTACAGTACAAACGAACAGGGTAATACATTCAAATCTCCACACTCTTAATCATAACGTGCTTTAACACACACACATACAACATTTCATTTTTAAAAAATTATGATTATACAGTTATGTTGCCTCACAAACAAAACACAAGCACTGCTAAACTGCGCAGGCAGAAACTTGTGTGCTCAAATAAGATGTGTGAGTATACTGGAGCTTTCAAGCACAAAAAGTCACAGACAGCCAATCTTGAAAGTCAAAAAGACATTACAAACCACCTTGGCTATTGGGAAAGACGTAGCATGTTAGCAAAGTGGATCCTGATGTAATATTCATGACTACAGCAAGTACACAAAACTGCAGAATGGACTCAGGAAGCATTAATTGGCCTTTACCGCTACAGACGTGGCATTCATTCATCTGAACATGACAAGACTTTCCTTACACAAACACATGCTCTCTCCGTAGATGTCTCTGTCTGAATGTGATTCAAACGGTGTGTGTAAAGAGGGAAGTGGGAGATCTCTCACACACTCATGATAACATAGCCTGTCTGACAGGTTCAGCTAAACCTCCAACTACATCAGGACTGCCACTAAAAGTCATGAGACCTGTGGAAAACCATAGAGGACCTTAGTCTCATGACAGGGCCTGATTCCAGAGTATCACTCTCATGACAGCCCTGTCTATACAGCTAAACCTGTCAGAATTACTGTAATACTATTTAACTTAAAAAAATCACACTGAAAAAACTCAGAGTTGGTTCCTCTGACTTTGACTTTTTTGATATGTTAAGCAAAATGGCAGCGGCTTCAACAGTTAGTAGTAGCTAACAACCTGTTTGATATGCTATTTTATTATAGGCAGAGTAATCTGGTGCACCTTTGTTTAATATTTTGTAAAAGTACACACACTACCATTCAAAAGTTTGGGGTCAGTATGATTTATTTATTTTTTTTACAAATTAGTATTTTTATTTATTAAATTCTTCGAAGTGAGAACAATAACTTCTATTCAAAGAATCCTGAAAATATATGAAAACAGAAATATTAAGCAGCATAGCTGTGTTTAATATTGATAATAGTAAGAAATCTTTATTGAGCATCAAAGCAAGCATATTAGAATGATTTCTGAAAGATCATGTGACTCAAAAGACTGGAGTAATGATGCTGAAAATTCAGCTTCGTCGTCACATGAATAAATTACATTTTAAAACATTCATATTAAGCAGCATAGCTGTGTTTAATATTGATAATAGTAAGAAATCTTTATTGAGCATCAAAGCAAGCATATTAGAATGATTTCTGAAAGATCATGCTGAAAATGATGATGCTGAAAATTCAGCTTCGTCGTCACATGAATAAATTACATTTTAAAACATTCAAATGGAAAACAGTTATTTTAAACTGTAATAATATTTCACAATATTACTCTTTTAAAAATCACCTTTGTTCAAAAAAATGCAGCCTTGTTGTGCTTAGGTGACATCTTTCAAAAACATTTTAAAAAAATCGTATATCAACCCCAAACTTCTATCGAACTTTTGAATAGTAGTGTATCTACAGTATAGAGATGAATTAATGTAGCGATTAATTATTTGCAGACATAAACAAAGCACTGCTACAGAGACGAATAATTTCAACAAGCAAGGATGTGAACAGCTGATTTGAATTTCATCGGCCGATAATTCAGATATGGTACATGAACGCAGCATAAGTTTTAAAGAAGCAAACAGCTGGAGGATCCTGAGTATCTCAGAGAAGGAATACTATGCATGTGTGGACAAAGAGACTGAAGGGGAAAAAAAAAAAGAAGAGTCAAAAATACGTGAGACATGATTCAGTGTTTCAGACGCCCACTTCAACTAAAAAGCAAAAATACCTCTGGCCTTCATCATGTGGCAAAAGTTTCAGTTAGTCGAGTGGAGCATTTATGGGGCTGATAAATATGTACATTGTATTAGAGCAGGTTAGAGTCAATGATACAAGAGATCAGATCATAGCATCTCTGTTTGAGAGACAGGTTTTAGTGATTTGTGTTGGGCTGTATTTGATATGCATGGTTTTATTTAACCCATCAAGGGGTGGAGCATTTGAACACCTGGATCTATATTTGATGCACTGCATCCATTGATTTGTGATCACCAGAGCAGAAAAACCCCAAGGCAGCAGTTAGGCCTATGTCTTCTCCTAAAACACACTGGCTTCAGGTGTTCAAATGCTCAATTCTCACTGACAGCTCGAAAGTAGGTGAGAGGAGTTCATGCATTCACTGCAAATACTCGGTCAAACACTCACATATCACACCCTGCAACCTTCTCATTCCACTGGCCCAGCTTCTCTGACATCACCACATAGCTAAAAAACACCGACGTGGTTATGTGCTGCCTACAGCAGAGCTCAACGGCACAGCACTCAAGCAAAATATGGTGTTACTGATAACTACCTCTGACTGAAAACAAACCAATAACTCCATGGTTTGAAGTACTGACAGACTGAAATATTGGCTAGGCAAATTATTCTGCTGATATTTGGCCATATTTTGGCTAATTTTAATATATTTGAGTAGATACTGTGCAAAATAAATGCTTACTTTTGTGTATACATTTTATGGATACAATGAACATTATGAATAACAGGCTGATATAACAGGCACTTTATCCTAAACTACCCACAGGGTTATTATGCTATAGCAAAAATGAAATCACATGTTTTGGTAGGCTAACATTAGACTACCAGAATAGTAGTCAACTGCACATCAAGGCAGTCTTGGCCCATGCAACCTGAGGCTATTAAGGGCCCTAGGTACTGACCAGGACCATAACCTCAGCAAAGTCCTGTAAAATACTACACATACTCATAAAACCACCAAAGTTTTTCCACCTACAGGATCAAAAACAGCAAACATCTGTTGTTTGTCTCAGATCTTGAGAGTCACACTCAAACCAATGGCCATGAGCTCCAGCTTGGAACACAATAAATTGTGGTGATTCATGTCTAAGTCGACTACAATCCTCCCACAGAGCCCTTTGAAACTGGACTGCCGTTTTTCAACTGATAAAAAACAATTACACTGAAGGACTTTCAGCTGATGGCATAGATGCCAGTCTATAATATACACAGAAAACAATGGTCATCTCTAGGGTAGGGCTGGACGATAAATGAAAATGCCATCGAAACTTTTCTGAAGACAGTCAGTTCTCTTCAGAGATACATTCATATAAAACACCGGCGCTGCGTTTTGATTTTGAAACGTGCAGTGCTCATGTTTATTCAACGAAGTCAAACGGCACAAATAAATCAATGTATGGGAAACTGGTAATGTATATCGAAATATCGGAAATGTGTTTAAAAATCATATCACCGTTATTGAAAAAAATTATATTGCGATACATATTGATATTGAATTATTGTCCAGCCCTACTCTAGGGTTGGGTGATGTCTACCAAATTGGCATGGGACGATGACTGCAGTGAAACATCGTGATGGGGGGTGGTTATGGGTGTGCCCGAAGCGTGAAACAAATAACCCGTTCTAGGGAGCCACTAAAAGGTTAGCCGCTTGTTAGCGGTAGCCTGTTGCATTACAGTACCGATGTCAGCTTAACATCGTGATGGCTGTCAGCCATCGGCGATGGCATCATCTATCGGCCCAACCCTAGTCATCTCCTCTGTCTGAACAGGCACTCAAGAGCTTTTTCTAATGTTTTTATTTGATAATGTACAATCCTGCAGGAAATGCAACTGGACACCTGCGACTCTTTATTTTTAGGCTGATTTCCAGCAGCATGAAGCGAGAGGAATGTGTGTGTGCTGGAAGAGAGCGCATTGAAGCTGGATTAGTTAGAAAGGCTTCAGTTCTCCCATGAATTCCTCCGCTGATAGAACCAGCTACCAACTTGCATCTGCCATCCTGCAGAGTCGTCACCCATTTGCCACTTCAACAAACCCTTTTAGTTCTAAATTTTGTCCAGAATTATGTCAAATCACTGTCATTCCTGCAGGGTCTGTGAAAGAGGTTTAGGATTCGACTTTGCATATGGCAACCCAGAAGACTGTATCTGTTACCTCCTGGGTTTGAGTATGCAGGACATGTAGAAGGAATGCATTCTTACGCGTTTGAGGTCTGGACGTCCTGCCAGCTTTTGGTGACGTTCTGTTTGAACTCGCTCAGGGGGCTCAGGCCCAGTTTACGCTTCAGCTCCGACGCGTGGCGCTCTTTAGCCGACAGCACCTGCTGCAAGGTGTGGATCTCCTCCTCAACCTGACAGGATGTCACAGTTTGTTCAAAGACGTAAACAACAACTCCGTAACATGAATATGAATTACTTCTATTTATAATGAATCACTTTGAATTAACATGTTAATTTAACAGCCCTAATCTTAAGATATACTGGAGAAGATGAGCAGATCATCAAACCTCTGGTCATGCAGTGGCTGTTGGTGTTTACCTTGGTGAGCTCCAGTCTCAGTTCCTCGGCCTCCTCCTCCGTCAGACCCGGAGGGAAAGTCCCAGGACTCACAGCGGCTGCCCCCCTCTCTTCAGGCACGTCTGAGAGAGAGTCAGAGTCCAGGCCTTTATGTGGAGAGTTCAGATTGATGTCTGTAAGATTGAAAGAGAATGACATGTGTTAAAGATGAAGTGCATAATTTCAGTGACACTAAACAATAGTAAAACAAAAATAAAAAATTAAGTGAAGCTTTTTCTTAAAACATGTATGAATAAATAATACTAATAAACTGATCTCTTGAAGTTATTTCAAGAAAACGACAGAAAAAATTATGAAAATATATACAGTAGTCAAACCAAAAATTATTCATACACCAGATCTAATTTTTTATATTTTTTTACTAGTAGGTGCAGGACACTATAGTTCATTTATGTAAGTGAGGATAGCAAAACAAACTGTGACATATTATACCCAAAAATTCTTCATACAGTGGACTACCAGTAAAACTGATAAAAATTTGGGACCAAAAATTATTTTTGTCTTTGACCTGACCATGTTTTGCTTAAGTGTTTTTTCTTTAATTGCTAATGCGACCTTTTTACACCACAGACTGAACAAAATTAAGCATTGCTTGGTAATTGGTTGACCTAAATTGGTATTATCTAATTGTGTACTTAAATTTAACAGCTGATAGCTATTCAACCTAATTCATTACATACTTTTCTATCAAGTTATCTGACGTTATCAAGATGAATTTGTTCTGACACAGTTTAACTATGAGTTCTTGTCATATTTTATTACCATTTTCTAAACTATAGCGAATGAACTGTGATATTGTGACACATGTTGAAGGTGTCTGAATAAATTTTGGTTTCACTATTTATGTAATTCAAATTGCTGCAGAAATTGCACTGTAACTAACATGTGTATTAGATTTGAGGGTATGTATTGACAAAATTCACTTATAGCAGCTATAATTAAATTTTCGTCTAGGGAAAATGAAACCAAAACATTGATGACTCATCCTGTACTACAAAGATTTTTGGCCAATCAAAGGCTCTCTAAAATGACATAACTAAAGCTTATTAATCCTTCGATTTGTTCCACCCAAATGTACCTTTTCCGTGGTAAATACATTAATTTAATTAAATTTAAATGTATGCATTTAGCAGACGCTTTTATCCAAAGCAACTTACAGTGCATTCAGACCACATTAAAAAAAAAAAAAAGTTAATAAATATATATTTTTTGAATACATAACCACAAAAAAGAAAAAGCCCTTGTTTCATTAATTTAATTATGTTATTTATCCTGTCAGCATGAACCTATAATCACTCTTCACACAAGCATTTTATCTAACTCGCATTCAAACGTAAAAGCATAACAGCAGAAATTTCAGTACAATGAAAGTGAGTGAAAATGCATTTATATAAATACATATAATATACAGTGCATTGTTCATATATTTATTGTTTATATATATTTTTTCAGCCATTCAATAAGCACGTGTGCACAGTTCAAAGGTTTAATCAAACTTTTTCAATTTAGGTCAGTCTGTGAAAGAGATGTCACGTGGGTCTGAGCTATATTAATGAGACATGTCATCAGCCACTCACTGACCCTAAACTGCCTATTTAAATAGCATCACATAATATGGCACAACAGATAAAGGATTGGTGTTGTCTTTACTAATGGTTTAATAATAATAATATCCCAAATCCAAGTTGAAAATCGCCACGCCACAAGCGCACACACCGAGAAACGGAACCATAATTTCCCTATCAGTTGTGATTTCGATGTGAATCAAATTATTGTAACGCAAACACCTGCACTCAGCCTCGATGTGTTTTTGTTATGTATTAGTAACCTGATCGCCTGCCCTGCCTTTCACCACCACACATTCACAACGCTGGGATCCAGAGATAAGGCTACAGTTACTCTACATTACGCCATAAACGTATAAGCGGTTGTATCAATCCAATGTTTGTGTTTGATTGCTTTGTTTTTGTTTACCTTGATTGGCGGAATCCATGTCGTCGGTTGAGATCTTCAAAACGTTGTCTTGACAGTTACGTAATTCAGAGGAAAAAAGCTCTGCGAGGCGTAAATACGTGTCTTCCCTCTACTACCAAAACAGCCAAAAGCGCTTGACAAGCCAACACAGGATCCCGAGCGATCAGCCAGCTCAGCTCAGCTTGAAGAGCTGCCCAAGTGCGCTTTCCTTCCGGCGCCCTGAGATGACGTCTACTGTGTCCTGAGCTCAACGAAATAGCTGAGAAAAACATCACTTTTGGCCCATACTGTTATTTCATTTTAGGAAACGAATCTTTAGGATCAGTGCTTAAGTGCTTAAGAAAAGCATGTCATTTACAATGAACAAACTGAATACAAGAAACTGAACGCATTAAACTGTTGTAATAAGAAAACGGACGAAAAGGGGGGGTTTTTTAACAGTTTTTCTACAAATGCCATGGTTAAACTATGGTTGGTGTTGGTAATTTGTGGTTACCATGGTTTAACTATAGTTAACCTGGTTTTCTTGGGTTTTATTTGTAGTAAAACCATGATTAAATTTTGGTGAGAGACTTTGTGTCAGGCTATGCGCAGACTTTGATTTATTCATCAATCCCTACGGCTAGACAACTATTTAAATTATTTCTTATAGCATTGGCGAGGTGCGATTAGTGAAGAGATTTCTCTTCAGAGATGCGTTCACGGATCGAAATCAATCGGTGAAAGCGATTCTTGAATCAACAGCTTACCGACTCACTGATTGAACCGAGAACGTTTATAATCACGAAATCAAAATGGACTTTTCTTATTTTTATGAAACATTGCAGTTTTTATTATAGTTTTTTTTTTTTTATCCGTGCACATTATTATTTTATATAGGCAAATATTGCAGTGTTTATAAACGATTTATCCATGCACATAATTATTTTAATATTTATGTGCCTTTAATCAAAACAACTTCCTTGCCGCGTCACTGTTTCTGATATTCCACTCTGAGTCAAAACAACAAACAAATTCATTCCAGATGGAGAAAATCCCGTCCTACATTTGACTCATTTGAGAAGCAATATGTCACAATTGGGAAGAAAAGACAGTTGCAACTTTCCTTTCGTGTCAACTTTCAATTAGATGTTAATCATACAGAGCCCCGCAAGACATGAGGAAGAAAAAATTAATATTGTGCCACAAAAAAAAATTTGCTCCCACAACTTGATTGTGGCTACATTTTATTAATTTGTTGATTTAATCATAATTTGCACCCTCGTTTTTATTTAGTTAAATCGTAGCCCACAAATTAGGCTATACCTAAAACGAGGGAATAAATTAACAAATTCTTAATTCATGGCCCCAATGTTTTTCCTTTGCATGTCCTGCGCTCAGGGGCCCGTTCTTCATACGTATTCGTACGTGTTATATCTCTGGATTTGATTGTTGACGATTTGGCATGATCTTGGATTGTTTGGTTCTTCGAAGCTCATCCCGGAGTTGCTGTCATAGCAACAGGTCCATAATCTTAAACCTGCTCGGGAGCAGGTTTATTTCATGTAAACAGGATTAGATTGCATCTTTTTAAGCAGAATTGATACTTAAAATCTGTCCACTACCACCGCTACTTTATTACAAGACTATCCTACTGATCCAGGGACAATAATTTAAAATAATAATCATTTAAAAAT